CTCTTAAACAAGCTATCATGAAATCGCCACATCACCAGGAGGACTCCACTGTGACTCCACTGGATCTTCACCTTGTCTCTGTGCAATAAAAATTATCTTGACACCTCAGACACAGCAGAGACAACAGCAAGGGAGGTGAAAGACACAGTCATGGTTGACATGATACCAACAGCAGAGGTTAGGTGAGGTATTGTTTGTCATGCAACAGGAAAAGTGTTTCCTGATGCAGATCTTTGTAACATGATGGCCCGTAACTGGAGCTTTTGGTCATCTGACTAAGGCCTTCCACTGGCTTACAGGTCCACCCCTTTAAAAATTATGGTTATACTTGTATCCATTAGACAACAGAGGAGTTGCACCAGGCTGACATATCCCAGCCATAAACTTGCAGCAGGCAGAAGTGGAGTCTGTGCTGGCTTAATAAGCCACTGGCTTAGAAATGGGTTGTAATAAAGTTGGTTAGAATTAACGACAATATGTAAAGTAAAAGGACACAAGTGCAACTAATGTGACATTTTACTGTGGCAATGTTTCGCTCTCCAGGAGCTTTGTCAAGCCCTTACAAACAGTACATGGACACAGAGGGTATATATAGGCTCAGAGTGAGGTGCAATAATAATAATATAATAATAATAATAATAGTAATACTGCTGCTGCTGCTGCTGCTGCTGCTGCTGCTGCTGCTGCTGCTGCTGCTGTTGCAGCTGTGGCGGCTGTGGCGGCGGCGGTGGTGGTGGTGCAATATGTTAGAACAATTAACTTGCACATGAGTAAAGGATATATGTAAAAGCTATTACTCGGGAAACATAAAAATGGTTTGACAAATAATTCTGTTGGAGGCTGGATAGAGAAGGCCTGTTTCAATGTTCATTCTCTGTAATGTGCTTGTGTAGTATTAACAGGAGAGACTATGTGATGGCAGGGTTTACTGTTTTCAGGAGGATTCTTGCTAAGTCTTCAGAGATAGTGAAGCTGCCTTTATTTTGTTTAACTGTATTAGAAACAGCTATTAGTGAAGATTCAAGGCACTTGCGTCTGCGGAAATTAGTTTCTTTGATCACTAGTTGGGCGTCCCTGAACTTCATGAGATGACTGGTGGAATTTTGGCATTGTTCAAGTTATCATTCCTACATGCATAAATGTGTTCACCGAGGCGGGTATCGAGGTTTCTTGCTGTTTCACCTATATAAATCTTGTCGCAGCCTCCACAGGGTATAGTGTAAACCCCTGCGTTGACTGGTTCGTGGTGCTTGGATTTTGTTCTGGTTAGATCCTTTATAGAAGTGCTGGAAGCAATGGCGACTCTGGTGTTAGCTTGTGAAAGTACTTTAGAAACGTTCAGTGCAACCTGGCTATTGGGAAGAATTATAACTTTGTTGGGAGTGGTGTTGGTGCGTGGAGAATTAATGATCTGAAGGGCTCTTTTCTTGCAGTCTTTGATGAAAAAGGAAGGAAAATGTAAATCTGTGAAGGTTCGGTGAATGTATGTACATTCCTCGTCAAGAAGCTCAGGACTACAAATTCGGTATGCTCTTAGAAAAAAACCCGATGATGATGCCTCTTTTGGTCTTAGTATCTTGACTGGAATAGAAGTGTGTGAGATCATTTTTATTGGTAGGTTTCCGATAAACTTGAAATCAAGGCTGTTGTCTACTTTGTGAATGAGGACATCGAGGAAAGGTAGCTTGTCATTGGATTCTTCTTCTAGTGTAAACTGGATTGCTGGTTCAACTGCGTTGAGCCTTGCCTGTCGATTCCGTACATCAGAATGTTTGGGAGTTATTACGAGGACATCTCCACTAACGTAACCAAGTGACGCTTGAAGGGATGAAGTTGGCGAAGTGTTTGAACTCTAAGTATTCCATGTACAAGTTGGCTAGGACGGCACTGATGGAGGACCCCATTCCCATGCCGTAGGTTTGTTTGTAGAGCCTGTTATTGAAAGAAAAACAGCTGAAATTAACACAGAGTTCAATCCAGTCAACAAAATCTCCGGGAGGTAGAGGAAGATTAAGGTCCTGGGGTTTACTTTACGTCATAGAACCTCGATGGCTTTTGTGGTAGGTACTTTTGTGAAGAGGGAAGTCACGTCCAAACTGCTTAGTTTCTTGTTACAGATGGAGAGGTTTTGGATGCGGTTGAGAAGGTCGCTTGAATGTTTAAGATGAGAGGGGCTGATGGTCCCCAAAAGGCAGGAAAGATGTTTGGCAAGAACTCGGCTAGTTTGTGTGGTGCACTGCCTATACCCGACGTTGACTGGTCCAAGAGGAATATTATGTTTATGGGTCTTGGGTAAACCATACATGTGTGCTGTTGTTGGG